TTTCAATTCTAAGTCTAGGCTTTAAACTTTTCTTTTTCTTTTTTTTTTTTTTTTTGAGTTGGAATTTCCCTCTTGTTGCCCAGGCTGGAGTGCGATGGTGTGATCTCGGCTTTTTTTTTTTTTTTTTTAAAGAAAGGGTTTCACCATGTTGGCTAGGCTGATCTTGAACTCCTGACCTCAGGTGATCCGCCCGCCTCGGTCTCCCAAAGTGCGGAGATTGCAGCGTGAGCTACCACGCCCGGCCAGGACTGATTATTTTGGGAGGTCAGAGGGTGGGGAGGGTAGAGGAGATTTACAGATGCATGAGCTGAACATGATTTGTCGCTGATGATATAAAGCAGGAAGTCCCCAGTGTGAGAGAAAGCACTTTTACATTGAATCAGAGTGTAGCATCAAAGGTGGGACTAAATCACCTTTAACGTTCTTTTCAATTCTAAGTCTAGGCTTTAAACTTTTCTTTTTCTTTTCTTTTTTTTTTTTTGAGATGGAATTTCACTCTTGTTGCCCAGGCTGGAGTGCGATGGTGTGATCTTGGCTCACCACAACCTCTGCCTCCCAGGTTCAAGTGATTCTCTTGCCTCAGCTTCCCAGGTAGCTGGGAGTACAGGTATGTGTCACCACACCTGGCTAATTTTGTATTTTTAGTAGAGACAGGGTTTCTCCATGTTGGTCAGGCTGTTCTCAAACTCCCGACCTCAGGTGATCCGCCCACCTGGGCCTCTCCAAAGTGTTGGGATTACAGGCGTGAGCCACCGCACCCGGCCTACACTTTTTTTTCTTATTCACTATTGCAGTGTTTCTCAAACTAGGTCCTGTGAACTCTAGAGGGTTGCAGACATGTTAGAGGTCCACAAATTCTATAAGAATATTGAAATAAGCCGGGCGTGGTGGCTCACGCCTATAGTCCCAGCACTTTGGGAGGCCAAGGCAGGTGGATCACGAGGTCAAGAGATCGAGACCACCCTGGTCAACATAGTGAAACCCCATCTCTACTAAAAATACAAAAAAATTAGCTGGGCATGGTGGCATGCACCTTTAGTCCCAGCTACTTGGGAAGCTGAGGCAGCAGAATTGCTTGAACCCCGGAGGCGGAGGTTGCAGTGAGCCAAGATCACGCCATTGCACTCCAGCCTGGGTAACAAGAGCAAAACTACACCTCAAAAAAAAAATTTTTTTTTTGAAATGAGAATCTAGAACATTTTATAATGTATAAAGACAAAACTTTTTTTTTTTTCTGCAGTGATAATCCATCACTGAAAGACTTTTTAAAGAATAAGACAAGTTTCTCAAGTCAGACTGGGAAATGTGTCTGAGGACCCAAGCTGGGGAAAGAATGGCTTGTCTTCAAAAGGCAACTGTACAATATTGAGGTTTAAGAGCTGGCATCCTGTGGGCTCTTCCTCCATCACACAGGGTAATGGATAGGTGACTCTGTTGGCTGCACTTGTTCCATCTTTGGCTCACAAAGTCTGTTTCCTGTGTGGCTCCTTCCTCTCCACTTAAAGGATGGACACCGTCAGTTGGGAGTTTTCCCAGGAGGCAGGAAGACTGCGAAGCTGCCCCTGGCCCAGACACCATCAGGGTGGGTAGGAGGCCAAGCTGTGCCCAGAGAGTCCTGGCATTTCCTCCTCTCTCTACCTTTCACTCCCTGCCTACCCCTCCCCTCCAGAGCAGAGCTCAGCAATTCTTTGAAATCAAAATGCATGAATGAAACACAAGGGGTGAAACCCGTGGACTCTGTCTGAGGCTGGGAAAGTCACAGCCAAGGTGTTAAGTAACCACTCTTCAAACGAGGAGGAAATAGAATCTGGCTGGAGCAGCAGCTCCTGGCTTTCCTTCTCGAGGCTCATTAGCTCCCACAGGAAGTGGGGGGCCCTGCCCTAGCTCCCGTTACAGGCGGCAGGCAGCCCACGATCTTGACGCCCTGTGGTTCTCCAAGACCTAAGCCCGGTGGAAAGTTTCACCTTGAGGAAGGAAAGTTTCCATTCCTCCCTCCAGCCCCCTGAGGGAGTGTTCAGCAGACATCCGGGAATGTCCCCAGGGGACAGCCGTCTGGGGCCCAGAGCCAGCCAGGCTGCTGGGCTCCTCCTCATCAGGTCCTCACACCCTCCCTAGGGAGGTGCGTTAGTACATTGGGAAGAGGGCTCTCAGAGACCCCCAGATTGCCTGCCCACCATTTGCCCTCCAGATACTGTACCCTGGACTCCACAGCTGCACTCTCCCTGTGCATGCACACAAGAAGGCACCAGTCCTCAGTAGTAGCAGTGAGCATACTTCATCATTTATGGAATCTTTTAGTCTTCCCCAACAGCCTATGAGCTATGCATTGTCTTTCTCATTTACTTATTTATTTATTTTTTTTGAAACAGAGTCTCACTCTGTCACCCAGGTTGGAGTGCAGTGGCGTGATCTCAGCTCACTATAACCTCTGCCTCCTGGGCTTAAGCCATTCTTCTGTCTCAGCCTCCCGAGTAGCTGGAACTACAGATGCATGCCACCATGCCTGGCTAATTTTTTTTTATTTTGGTAGACATGGGGTTTCACTACTTTGGCCAGGCTGGTCTCGAACTCCTGACCTCAAATGATCCACCCACCTTGGCCTCCTAAAGTGCTGGAATTACAGGCATGAGCCACTTTGCCCAGCCAATTATCTTTCTCATTTAAAGAAAATTAAGGCTCAGTATGGCTACATGACCGGTCCAATGCAATCCGACTGGTAAATGTTGTACTAGTTGGGTTTGGACCCCAGTTCTGTCTACACTGTCATGAGATGCTTTTCTTACACGTTTATATTTGATCTTTTTGTTTGTTTGTTTCTTTTGAAATATCCTGGAGAGTTAGAAGTGGAAAAAGAATCTCCCAAAGCAGAGGATCCCTATTCTCTCCCTCCTAATTCTGCTTATGTTCTGCAATACAGGGCGGGAGGGAGGGAAACCCTTTTCTCTGCCCTTAGTATCTAAGACACCACTTAGTAAATGATCCCTCAAAACCCACTTGGCCACCTGCCTCCAACACGTGCCTTTTACCCTAACTCTTCCAGAAACACAGACAGATGGCCCAAGACAGCCCGCACTGGGATGGCCTTGCTCAGCAAAGCTCTCTTGCAGCTGGTGGCCACTGAAGTCTCACTTTCAGACTTGTGGGGCAGACTGGCGGTGCAGGATGGACTTGGATGGCAATAATCCCTACACTGTTCCTTTAGTTCTAGGACATACTATGCGGGGATTTTTTTTTTCTGGAAATAGGTTTAATTCAATTGATTTAATTAAATCCTGTTGGCTCAGATTGATGAAATAATGGGTCTTCTTCTCTGAGAATACCCTAAGGTTGAAGGAGAAGAAACATGTGGACCACAAGGGGAGGGCTAAGTGAAATGGTGCGTCAGAGGCACATTGTGAGCTGCAAAGGGCTAGGCAGATATTGCGACATTGCCACAGCCATTATTATCCTCATTTTTTTGTCCCAAACACCTCTGGGTGTAGTCTTGGAGAGAAGAAGTGCAAACAGAGGTAGAGTTTCCTCCCAGGTCACAGACAACTCCTCCCACCTCTGCGGGGCTTCCGTCTGCAGCCGCTGTCAGATGCCCTTTCAGATCCCCAAAGAATCCCTTCTAACTACCTCTCCACAGCCCACTATCCTCCCCAGCCCAGCCCAGGGCCCCCAGTCACTCACAGTGATTCTCTGCTTGTCTGGCAAGGAGGCCCAGGGGCCTTTTTGAAGACTCCTCATCATCAAGGTGAAGGTCCTTGGCCTCCCACTGCCCAGAAGCCTTGAAGAAGCTGGCACACATCCCATAGGGACAGCACTGGTAGGCATAAGGCACCTCCAGGATCCTGGTGAGGAAGAAGCGGGCAGGTGGGCTGCCTGAGCATCTTTGGGGTCTAAGACCTAAGTCTGATTTAAGAGATCTCCATCCCAGGGGCTGGGCACTCAGTACCTGTCCTTCAGCCCTCAAGTTCCCTGTTCACTGTGCTAGCAGCTTCCTGGGCTTCCTTTGTAAGGGCCTTGCAGCCTGACTCCTGACCTGAAGGGCTCTGGATGCATTCCTGTCTTTCTTGGTTCCTCTTGGCAAGTGAGATGGGGAGAGAAACGTTCTGCCCATTGTTTAAGGAGTCCTCTCTGCAGGTTCAGAGAGGGGAGAGGCTTCCCCAAGGCTACACAGCACTGCCAGTGCTCTGCTCCTCCTCCCAGGCAGCACCTCCTCTTCTATATTTGAGGAGACAGGGAGTCTCCTAGCCATTCTTCACCCTGGCCCTCAGTGAGAACCTGCACCATATCCCTCCCCCATCTCTGGGCATATTGGAGCTGGATTTGGTGCCCTCTGAGGGTGAGCACAGAGGCCCTGAGGGTATCTCATTAGCATGCAGCAGGCACAGCTTGGGCCACACAGGCTGCACTACTGCTGCTGCATGGAAGAGGCCTGGATGTCATTAGCACCAGGGCCTGGCTGTGCAGCCTGTTTTCCACTCGTCAGTTCCCAAGCTCTGCCCTGATTCCAGGGGCTCAGATGCTGCCCAAGTGAGGACAGATAATCTAGACATGTGGAACCAGGTGAAGCACAAGGAGGACTAGGGGGTCTGCACATCATCTTACTTCTATTCTCTTGGGTCCCAGTGCCCACTAGGGTTGGTGCTTGGGACAGGGGAAAATGTTACCAAGGAGATAAGGCGGAAGGGAAGGCATGAACCAGATCCCATCTGGTCTGCAGGCAGTCAGGTGAGCCCTTCCACTAAATCTTGGTCAAACCCTAAGCCTGTAGGCTCGTCTCAGAGTGAGGCTGTCCGGCTTTCTCCCTGTCCCTCCAGAGCCTCCAGTTGGCCTACCCAGGTGTTGGGAAAAGTCAGTCCCTCACCTCAGTTTTGGGAAACTGTCCTTGGAGAAGGCCTGGGAGAGAGCCAGGTTCCCTTTGAGCTTCAGATGCATCAAGCCCCCAAGTCCAGCCAGGGGCAGTGTGGTCAGCTGGTTGTCTGTCAGGTCCCTAGGACAGTGGATGGTCAGGGTTATTGGCAGTCAGTGGGACTGCTGAGGGGGCAGGGCTGTGCTGAGGATGTGGCCAGTGTGCCTGGGATGGAAGCAAGAGGAGAGGAGCAAAGGACAGAAGAGAAGCTTAGAAGACAGCATTGAATGCCAAGGGAGGAGGGCAGCCAAGAGTTGCTAGAGGCACCATCTACAGCTTATTCATTCTTTTATTCACTCATTCATTCAACACGTAACGGTGCCAACTATGTACCAGGGACTGTTCTAACTTAATGCCAAGCTGTCCCAATTTGTAGGTAACAGAGCTCCCTCAACCACAGGTCCTATGCCCAGGTCTGAGTGCCATCCAGGAGGCCCTGCCCTCCCCCCCTGGGAAGCTTCCTGTTGTTGATCCCATCCCTTGCCTTTCCTACCATTTTTCTGATGACATAGAGGCCCGAGTCTGGGATTGGACAGAGCCGGTCATCTGGCTACAAGCACGGATTGGGTCATCCGTTCCATCTTGTAGAGCCTGCTTTGTAGCCAGAGGTGAGGACATGCATGTTCTTCTACTGGAGACACATTAGAGGAAGCCCAGGGTTCCAAACCAAACACCAAGACCACAGACTGTGCGTCGTGGAAACAGCCCTGGACTGGAAGGCAGGAAACCTGGCACTGTCACCAACTTGCTGTGTAACCAAGGGGAGCCGCAAATCTGCCTGAGCTTCAGTGTCCTCATCTTTCAAAGGGATAAAAATATACACCCTACCTATCTGGCAGGGCTAGAGAAAACAGGAGGGGGAAGACGGAGGTGAGAGTGTTGTAAAGCCATGGCCCCAGCCTGAGGAGGAACTTGTGTGCCCGCTGGGAGTTCTGGCCCTTGGCTTTGAGTAAGCTTCCCCTCCTGGGCCTTGGAGGCCTCACCTGTGAAATGAAGTGGGTGGGGCTAGATGGTCTCTGAGGCCAGGGCTGGAGCTGGCCCAAAAGGAGTCTTTGTGTTAACCAGAAAAGGGCCCAGTGGGTAGACAGTCTGGGTAGCCTTTAGGACTCACAGCTTGGCAAGGAGGTGGCAGGCTGTCAGCTCCCTCTTGGGCAGGAGCCCTTGTGCAGTGAATAACCTGCCCCACAGTACATGGCATCTGCCTCAGAGGCCCTTCCAACCCTGACACACTGACCATGCAGCCAACACTGATCACTGTTTACATCCTATGTAATTTAAAGGAACTGAGGTCCCATGCTGCCCCACAGAATGGCAGCCCTCTAGAGCAGTGCTCAAGCAGGGGACCCCTGAGCTCTCTGAGACTCTCCTGTGTGTGAGGGGACTCCAGGCCCAATACATCTTCTTTATCGGTGTATAGAGAGGATGCGGGAAGGACCCAGGCAGGGAGGGATGAGGAGGGCTGAGGCTGCCAAAACACTGCAGAACATTAGCAGATGATGTTCCAGAGCTTGCAAGAGGCAAGCTCTCTGTTTATTAAGCCCCACACTCTGTCAAACGAATTGTCAGAATGACTGATTAGGCTGAGGCCCATCTCCCTGGGATATGCATGTTCCTGCTCTGGGGTGGCCCTCCTGCCCCCGTTGGCCAGCCCATAGTCCCGACTAGCCCCCAGCATCCTGGAGGAGAATGCAGCAGGCACTTACAGCTTGACCAGGGAGCGCAGGGTGGAGAAGGCCTCGGGGTGGATGGACCGGATGGCATTCCAGCTAAGATCCCTGCAGGCAGAGAGGGTGTGACAGGAGGGGACATAACATGTGGAGGACTCACTGTTCCCATCATGGGCTCTCCCTCACATAACCCTGTCTGACCTGGCCTTAGTAACAGCAACCTTAGCCTTTGGGGGAAGGTACCTGCTGCTGCCCAGCTCCTAAGCTGGCTGTGGCCCCAGGAACAGGGACATGACAGCTTGCCTCCAGAGCATCAGGGCCTCCTGGGTACCAGCTAGAGAAGTGTGTGTGTGTGTGTGTGTGTGCACGTGCATGCGTGTGTGTGTGTGCACGTGCGTGTGTGTGTGTGTGCGTGTGTGTGTGTGTGTGTGCGCGCTGGGGGTGGGGGCTATGGAGCTGGGAGGTGATGTGCATGTCACGTCTGCTTAAACTGTACACATGTGCTATGAGAATGAGCATGCCTGGCAGAGGGGCATGGTGGCTCCTCCATGGCCCACCCCTGGGTGCAGGTACTCACAGGGCTTGCAGGGAGCTCAGCTGGCTGAAGGTGTCAGCTCCAATTTCCCAGATACGGTTGTGTTGGAGGCCGCTAGGGCAGCAAGAGAGGCTAGATGAGTCGGCAGGCTCAGACCCTGGCTCCGCTCCATGCCCCCCGAGCACTGGGAGGAAGAAAGGAGAGCCCCCCACTTCTCCTGGCACAGGAAGAAAGAGCCCAGCCCGAGGAAGTCACCAGAATTAAAGGGAGCACAAGGGGATCCGGTTGCCTTGGGTAAGTGGGTCAGGAGACAAAGCCACAAAACCACCCCTGTGGCCCAAAAGGGAGTCAGCTTCCAGGGTTCCCACTGGGTTTGGCTCCCAGCCCAGCCGAACTGGCCCCCACACCTCCCCATCACCATGGGTCCTCCAGACCCTAGCTCAGAAGCAGAGCACCGCCCAGCCTAAGTGACTGGCCGGAGCCAGGAAGCCGAGCTCAGTAGACTGGTTGTCTGAACGGGAGATGGACCCTCAGCCATGCGGAAGACCCTCCTTCCCTTGGCACCTAGACAAACAGGAGACCATCATACCTCTACCCTGCCCCAGCGCCAAAAGGCATGGCCCTGCCTAGAAGAAGGGGACAGACACAGGGAGGCTCAAGAGGCCGTGCTGGCTTGAGAAAACAGGAGCTGGGTTAACAGAGCTTAAAGAATTTTTAAAGTGATATTTTCTTTGGGACCTTTGAATCTCAGCCTGCTTCTTCCACATACGGTTTTGTACGTCTGTGTGTAACATGCAGACACATACGCACATATACGTGTATGTGTTTATGGGGGTATGGAAAAGGAGAGAGCATGTTCCAAAATGCAGGGTGTTCCAACTCCTAACAGCCTTCTCTGGTCCAACCCATGGAGCCCTGATGTGACCCTGGCCCTCCACTGGCCTAATCACTCCTGCATTTCTGCATTGCTGTTGATTCATAAGGAGCCACCTTGAGACTCCTTTTGGACACCAGCTCCTGGGTCTGTCATCTGCTGTGAGTCCTAGGACCACTGTGCAGGCCTCTGCCAAGCTCTCAGCCCTAAACGCTGGGTTCAACAAACTCAGGAAAAAGGAGGAGGAAATGTCAAAGTGTGCATTGCCCTTACTGACACCCCAATGTGCCTCCCTGCAAGACTTGCTCAGGGTCTGGCTGGCATGCCTTTGCCTCTCCCCCACCCCAGACTCACATTTCCTCCAACTTCTGACACCTGTGCAGGCTGGGCAGCTCCTCAATTTGATTGTAAGACAGTTCCCTGGGGAAGAGAAAGGCCAGGGCTGGGGTGAGGTGGTGGCTATGTGAGGGCTGTGGGGGCAGGGGAGTGGGGGGCTCTGGCCAGGGCCGTGCCTTCCTGTCAAGCAGCCAAAGGCTGTGGGGACCCCACAGCAACGTGGCTGTTGATAACGTCTCACACCAGGGCACCAGTCTCCTCAATTCATTCTCTCTGCTTGTCCTCCTACCAAGTCCCGCTCCTCACTGGGCCTAGATGGGGCTACCTTATCACATGATGGCCTGGGAGCACCTGGGAGAGTCCCGGGGGAAAAGGAACCAGAAATGAGAGGGGTATGGCGAGAGGAAAGAGGCAGAGAGTTGGGGAGAGGGGCACTGAGCCAGCCAGCAGAGAAGACATCAGATATCACTGAGGAATGCCAACCCAAGCACCTGCAGTCACCATTTATGGGACCGGCAGGAAAGATCAGAGCTGAAGGTCCTTAGGGATCATCCGGCCCAACCCCTTCCCTCAGCAGATGAAAAACCTGAGGCTCACAGAGGGGACAGGACGTGCTAAAGGACATACCACCTACCACCAGTCAGCGGCCAGGCTGAGTCTGGAGCCTGTGTCTCCGGACCACCAGACCAGGGCTCTTTCCACACACTGTGTGTTGGTCCACCCATCTTGAGCTGCGGGTCTGTGGCCTCTGATGAGGAGCTTCGGACTCAAGTTAGAGTCCAAGGAGAGAGGAAAACTCCCCTTGCCTTCAGAGGTCACTTAAGTAGCTCCACAGTCCAGAGATCCCAAGAGGGGACTAATTTTCTTGTGTAAATTAGAGTAATAATGTCATTTATTGGCATTATGCACTAGGTGCTTTACCTATTTTTTTCAGCCTTTACAAACTGACCCATATTTTATAGATGAGGATATCGAAGCTCAGCAACATTAAAGAGTGAGTCCAAATCAATAAAGCTAGAAAGTGGCAGAGCTGTGCCTCAAACGCAGTCCCTCTGGGGCAGGCTCTTAGCGGGAGCCTACGCTGCCCCACTCTCCAGGAAGGGAAGTGACCAAGTGGGACAGAAGCAGGAGAGGCCTTTTGTGGGACATGGGGGTGGGGGCACAATGCCAAGACTGTAGAATGCTTGTGAGCACTCACAGGACTCGGAGCCTGGGCAGCTGTTGGCACATCCCCGATGGGAGCAGCCGGATGCCTGCGCGGGTCAGGGTCCTGCAGGGAGAACAGAGACGGAGCTGGCACCAGGCCCGGGGCCCTGCCATTCCCAGCCACCCGGCTCCAGTTCTGGACCTGATAGTGTCGTGGGATGACGGAGCTGACAAAAGAGAGAAATGGAGGGAGAGAGAGGGCAGGGGGTGGGGCTGTGGGGACAGAAATGAGCAGACACTGGCATCTGAGCCCCAAGCTCCCCTGGGCCTGGAGGAGCTGGGGGAGGGGAGTGGAGAGAGAGGGGAGTGGAGAGAGCCCAGGGCTCCGCTTGGCTGACAGTCCCAGCATGTCCAGCCCCGCTCCAGGCATCCCCATCCTGTCCCTACCCCAGGTCTCATAATGGTCTCAAGCAGCACTGGGCCTGTAGGACTGGGACACAAATCTCTGCTGTAGGGACCTTAAAGACGGGGGATATTCATGGGCAAGGAGTAGACAGAACAAAACCGTAGTGGGACCATGGGAACCAAGCACAGAGTTTGGTCCCTGTGCCTCGGAGGAGGGAGAAAAGATGGGAAAGAAGGGAAGAACCAGGCGCTGGTCTGGAGAGGGCTGTGGGGGCAGGTCGGAGTGCCAGCTTGGCTTAGGGCAGGGTGTCCCAGGAAGGACCCAAGGTCAAGGTCATATCTGGGGAATGACTACTTCCCTCATGGAAAATTTTCCACATGCCAGTGAATCTAGTGGGGAGACAATAGAGGCACAGAGGAGAGTCCCAGTCCCAACGGTGCCATGAATGAGCTTTGTGGTACGGGGCAGGGCAGCCGACTTCCTGACACTCACTCTGGGTATTTGCTCAATTGTTTCATTTCATTCATTTAAATGTATCGAGGGCCTACTGTGCTTTGATACTCCCTCCCTCTGCGCCATAGATATAATAATAGAAAATACAAGAATGTCTTTGTTGGAATCAAGCTTCAGAAAGGCAAAGAAGATGGCTTTTCACAACCCTCCCCTCCACCGCTTCAACCCTCAATGTACCTGTGTCTTAGATTTAGGAGCTCTGAATTCATACCTGAAAAATCCAACATGGTAAAGAAAGAAAGACCAGCCTCCTCCCTGCCATCCCACCTGCCACCTCCTGACCTTGCCTGGGGGCAGTGCCACATTAGAAGGAAGCCATGGACCCCTGAGGTAGAGCTAGCAGTAGAGGCAGGCTGGATAAGAGGGAAGCAAAGAACCTGGACAGCCTTCCAGCGGCAAGGAGGTGGAAGAGCCCTTGGGGATGCAGCTGGGTGACAGATAAGGTGGAGGGAGAGAGAGTCACTCACAGGATCTCCAGGCTGGTGGTGCCTTTGAGATCTGGAAACTCCTGTATGTCTGTGGCACCATTCAGAGATCTGGAAACAGAGACAATGAGCTCTGAGGGGTGGGGTCAGAGCATCTCAACATCCAGACTCTCAGTTCTCTGTTTTGTCTCCCCTCGGGGACTCCTCCCTTGGGGACAATGTCATCCTTCCCCGCAATCTCCTTCAAGTCAGCCACCCAGGCCCTGGTGGAGTCTGAGCCACGCTTAGCAGGGTCCAACCAGCCATTTGCCTAAGTTTGCTCAGCACTCCCTTGCCCAGACAGAACGGGGTAACCTCAGCATTCACCCTTCAGCTTGCAAAAACCCCACAGGCAAGCAACATGGAAATGGCCTCTGGTTAATAGACGACAGCTTGGGTGCTTCTGGAGAAGCCCTTGGCTGCTGGGTTTTGCTTATTAGAACTGGAGATAGGATCTCCCCTAAATTGTCATCTGCTAGAACTTTATTGAAACTATCAGTTCTCTTAAACTGCTTTAGACCGGTAGTTTTCCTTCTCCCCACCACGTCCTATCTTATTGAGGACACGGACCCACATGGGGTCTGCATACAACAGCAGTGCAGAAAATTGAGCATTGAGAAAGGCCCTGAGGAGGCAGTGTGGGGTCCAGAAATGAGCCCAGAATCTGAAATTAAAGGGTTCTGGATTCATGCCCACACAGGGCCTGAGCACCTCATGTTCTGTGTGTAAAATGGACCAATAACACCTACTTCACAGGGTTAGGATGCAGATGAAATGCCATAATGGACATGAAAGTTAAGTATGTGCTTTGGCGATGCTGGCTGTGTTACTGTGATGCCACAGTAGGCTGACAGCAATCCATGGAAGCCTTTTTTTTTTTTTTTTTTTTTTTTTTGAGACTGAATCTTGGCTCACTGTCACCTCTGCCTCCCAGGTTCAAGTGATTCTCCTGCCTCAGTCTCCCAAGTAGCTTAGCTGGAACTACAGGCATGCACCGCCATGTCCAGCTAATTTATTTATTTATTTTTGAGATGGAGTTTCATTCTTGTTGCCCAGGCTAGAGTGCAATGGCGTGATCTTGGCTCACTACAACCTCTGCCTCCTGGGTTCAAGCGATTCTCCTGCCTCAGCCTCCCGAGTAGCTGGGATCACAGGTGCTCATCATCATACCCAGCTAATTTTTTATATTTTTAGTAGAGACAGGGTTTCACCATGTTGGCCAGTGTGGTCTCGAACTCCTGACTTCAAACGATCCACCCACCTCGGCCTCCCAAAGTGCTGGGATTACAGGCGTGAGCCACTGTGCCTGCCTCCATGGAAATTTCTTCAAAAAGAAATGGGACTTGGGCTGGAAATTAGGGAATGAGAGAGGGGAAATAACGATGGCATAGCAAAGGGCCCAGGGATCTGGGATCCAAGGCCACAGAAGAGCCACCCTTGAGAGAACACACCATATTCAAAACTCTTCGGTCATTTCTGGAGAAGCGACCATGAGCAGCATAAAACCCAAGAGGCCAAATGAAAGTCCTTGGCTATGGAGATGGACCTTCTTTGTCCCTTTGAGACCTGGGAAGAAGCCGCAGGTCAGGGAGGTGGAGGGAGGCTATTAAATTTAGAAAGAGGTGGAAATGGGTCTGAGCAAAGCAGAGGCCTGCAGCCTTGAAGACCATGCCTTGAAGTGGGCTTGCACCTTGCAAGTTGGAGATCTACGGGCGGAGGGCAGGAGAGAGAATGCAGGAGTGAGGAAAGGGGGAGATTCAGGCTGCAGCAACCTTCAGGAGACAACTTACAGTGTGTGGAGTTTAGGCAGGTACTGGAATGCCGATCTTCCCACAGACTGGATTGGGTTGTCATAAAAGTGTCTGGAAGAAGAAGGTCCAAACACTTAATTCAGTTTTTCAGACCTTTCTGCTGGGACAAAGGCCAACCCCTGCTTTCTTCTCCTACCAATGTAGGCCCAGGAAGGAACTCGCAGGGAAAGGCAGCCCCTCCCATACTTCTGCCTCCCTGCTGTTTTCTAGGGAAGTCCCTCCAGCCTTCCCATCCTCTGTCCTCCTCCTTGAAACACTGTTCGGCATCAAGAGACCAGAGGAAGTAGTACTCACATCGTCTGCAGCAGAGGGTTCCCCATGAAGGCCTTTTCTGGGATGGCCTTGATGTTGTTGTTGTGGAAACCCCTGGAAGACAACACCAGGGAACCAGTGAGGATTTGGAGACAGTATAGTGGGGAAGAGGCATGGAATTCCACGGGGCTTTGGACGGCAAGCTAGACAGTCCATAAGACAAAGAGGCGTCGGCCTGAGATTCAAGGGTCAGATTCAAATACTGCCTGTGTTGTTGTTTTTTTTTTCCTTTTTTTTTTTTTCAGACGAGGTCTCTGTTTGCCCAGGCTGGTGTGCAGTGATGCGATCTTAGCTCACTGCAGTTCAGCCTCAACTTCCTGGGCTCAGGTGACCCTCCTGCCTCAGCCTCCCACACACCTGGGCCAACCGGCATGTGCCACCATACCTGGCTAATTGTTTGATTTTTTTTTTTGTAGAGACGAGATCTCACTTTGTTGCCCAGGCTAGTCTAGAACTCCTGGGCTAAAGTGATCCTCCTGTCTCTGCCTTCCAAAGTGCTGGGATTACAGGCATGAGCCACCACACACAGCCAGTTTTTCTTCTTGTTCAATTACACACCCTCCTTTCCCTAACAAGTGTGAAAGGAGTGAGGAATGGAGACCTGGGCTGCAGGTCTCAGGAAGCCTGTGGCAGCAACTCAAGAGCAAGAGGCAGAGTTCAGGTCCCAGGAGGGGAATCCTCTCCTTAGCCACTTGTGGTAGGAGCCGTGGTGGGTCCCCACCGAGGAAGCCAAAGGTATATGAGAGGAAGAGGGAGATACAGAAAAAACACAGCTTCCAGGGGATCCCAGGTGAGGGATGCTCCTCAAATGGAGGCTGGCTTGGCCTCAAGGCCCTGAAATAAAGAAACATAGACATGTCAACAGCATGCAGCCAGGGGTACAAGGTTCGGAATGGGACACTGATGACTGTGGATGGCACTATGGGAAAATGAGGACTGAGGCACCCAGATGAGGGTCTGACAGTCTGGAAGCCAGGAATTATGTGTTTGGTTAGTTGGGAAGAACATTTCAAAATAAATAACATGTTGGACTGAAAAGTACATAACCCGTGCAGAGCAGGCCCCTTTCCTTCCCCCTCTTTTTTTTTTTTTTTTTTAAGATGGAGTCTCACTCTGTCACACTGGCTGGAGTGCCATGGTGAGATCTTGGCTCACTGCCACCTCCGCCTCCAGGGTTCAAGTGATTCTCCTGCCTTGGCCTCCCAAGTAGCTGCGACTACAGGCGTGTGCCACCAAACCCAGCTAATTTTAGTATTTTTAGTAGAGACAGAGTTTCCCCATGTTGGCCAGGATGGCCTTGATCTCTTGATCTCGTGATCCACCCACCTCGGCCTCCCAAAGTGCTGGGATTACAGGTGTGAACCACTGCGCCTGGCCCCTCCCCCTCTTTTTTATTGGCAGTTTCTGGCTTCTCTGTCCCCTTGGCCTCTGCTCACCTCTGCCTTCCTCCTGCCATCCCATCGTGACTTCCAGTTTCACACTGTCTCACTCATAGCTTCACCCTCAAACACCTCCAGCCAGTGCCATCTACCCAGGCCTATTTGTTCATTAATTTATTCCTCTCATCTGCTCATTATGTTTTTCTTAAACTATCTTTGTGTCTAACATTGGGGCAAGCTCTGAGGGATTTAGACGTTTCTAAGACAGGGGCCCTGTCCTGAAGCAGCTTTCTCTCAATAGATGAGAGAGAAGGAGAGATGGAGAGACAGACAGGCAAGCCATGCCCCACACCTTTTTCCCCTGCTGACTAACTTAGGTCTCCTCTCTCTCCGCTAATGCTTTATTGTTTCCTGACCCAATGCTTTTGCACATCCTGTTCCCTTCATGCCTTCTTGATCGATCAAATCTCATGTTCCTCTCAGGCCCCAGCTCAAAGGAAAAAAGTTAGACCTTGGTGACTCTGGTGATGGAGAACTTCCAACAGTTTCTCACTTACACTTTTTTTTTTTTCAGATGGACTCTCACTCTGTCACCCAGGCTGGAGTGCAGTGGTGCAATCTCAATTAATTGCAATCTCTGCCTCACAGGTTCAAACCATTCTTGTGCCTCAGCTTTCCAAGTAGCTGGGACTACAAGCGCGTGCCACCACGCCTGGCTGATTTTTGTATTTTTAGTAGTGATGAGGTTTCATTCACCATGTTAGCCAGATTGGTCTCAAACTTCTGACCTCAAGTGATTCACCTGCCTTGGCCTCCCAAAGTGCTGGGATTACAGGTGTGAGCCACCAGGCCCAGCCAGACTAGCTGGTCCAGTTGTTCCCTATCTGCCACCTACATCTGGCATTCACCCCTTCAAACTTCTGGATGAGGTGAGGGAGGTGGCAAGGGGCTAGTACTGTAGGTCTCAGGTAGTGGTGGTGGTTTGAACTGTAAAGATACTAAGCTGGCCAGCCGCAGCGGCTCATGCCTATGAACCCAGCACTTTGGGAGACTAAGGAGGGTGGATCACCAGGTCAGGAGATCCAGACCATCCTGGCCAACATGGTGAAACCCTGTCTCCACTAAAAATGCAAAAATCAGCAGGGCATGGTGGTGCACGCCTGTAGTCCCAGGCTGAGGCAGGAGAATCGCTTGAACCTGGGAGACGGAGGTTGCAGTGAGCCAAGATTGAGCCACTGCACTCCAGCCTGGCGACAGAGTGAGACTCTGTCTCCAAAAGAAAGAAAGAAAAGAAAAGACACTAAGCTGCCTGGAGGTTTGGGGCTCCATTCACGAGTCTCCAGGCCACCGTAATCTGGTCCCACTCCAGCTGTACAGTAGAGCTCTTCTTGTTTCTTGAGAGGGCCCCTCCAGTAAAGCTGCTTCCCACCTGTGCTCCTCCCTCTGCCAGCTCAACTTCCTACCTGGGTCTTTACCTACTGTTTCTTCCTCTGAAATGTGTCTCTGCTCCCCATCACTGCCACCTGAATCCTGATATCCTTTAAGGCTCCTCTCAGGATTAGTACAATGATCTTTCCATGTTACTCTGAGCTCCCACCAGTGTTTTAGCTAATACTCTGTAATTTATGGTTGGAGTTATATACCATTTTGCCCTGTTCCCTGTTTTACCTATGTTACTTTGTGTCTTCAATGAGGCTGAGGATGCTTAGACAGGGCCATGTCAATCTGACCCTTTGTTTGTGTTTATCACTAAACACAGTGCTGGCCATACTGGGTGCTCAGTGAATGCTGAAATAAAATAAGTGGTGGCTTTGGGGAAACACAGACAACTTTTCAGTCGCCCTGGGGACAAAGTGCTGAGGAGTGATCCTGTAAACCAGCTCCCTGTTCTTTTCCTCATTCTTCTCTGGACACACCCTAACCAAGGCAGGGGCAGTGCCAGGCCCAGGCTAATAGGAGGTGGCTTGTGCCATGGGTTTTCCCAGGCTGGAAGGGCCCAGGGCCATTTCTCCTCTTGACATACCCCCAGGAAGTGCTCAAAGCCAAGCTAATGAGGCCTGGGACTACTTAGAGCTGCACTGGGGCTTGGGGAGCGGGGGCCAGCTACATCTTTTACAAGGACCATGGGAGGTAAGGAGGTGAGAGCATGAGGCAGCTCAGGCTGGCTTGGGACAGGAGGACACCCACAGAAACCAACAGAGGCGCTTACAGTTCCTGCAGTCTGCCCAGGGTCCGGATGGCCATGGGGAACTCCTGCAGCTCGTTATAATTCAGGTCTCTGGAATGGAAAGCAGAGCAGTCATTAGAGCAAAGGCTTAATGGGGCAAGTCAGGGTCCCTGAGACGTGGAAACTTGGCTCTGGGCTTGGCCAGGGAGATGGGTTTTCCAATCTGTTGGACCCCACGGCCAATGTCTGGAAACACGTTTTTGGAATATTCGTGCTCCATCCCTATTCCGCAAATCCTCAGGCACGGAATCTTCCTGGCTGCAGAACTGTTTTGAGTGGGGAGACATACTTTAGGGGTGTGTATACCTGGAACCATCTCCCTCAGAATAGTCCCTGCCAGCTGAAAAAGCATCTCAAGCCTTTGGAGACATCAGCAGAGTGGAGGAAGTGGGGAAGTGTGTGCTTATTAACATCTTATAACCAACACTAGGGATTCCAGAAGGTTCCTCAGGTGACTACCTTCACTATCTGTGGTCTTTGTTGTCATCCCCTATAAAAATGGGGAGTGTGGACCAGGCGCGGTAGCTCACGCCTATAATCCCAGCACTTTGGGAGGCCGAGGCAGGTGGATCACGAGGTCAGGAGATCGAGACCATCCTAGTCAACATGGTGAAACCCCGTCTCTACTAAAAAATACAAAAATTAGCTGGGCATGGTGGCGCACACCTGTAGTCCCAGCTACTCGCTTGGGAGGCTGAGGTAGGAGAATTGCTTGCACCCAGGAGGCAGAGGTTGTGGTGAGCCGAGATTGGGCCATTGCACTCCAGCCTAGGTAACAAGAGCGAAACTCCATCTCAAAAAAAAAAAAAAAATGGGGAGTGTTTCTTCTCCTTGGGTGAAGACACAACAGCTATTTTCTCTTACACTTTTCCGCACTTTCCTTTTTTTTTTCTGGCAATGAGCATGCATCACATGTATAATTAGAAAATGATGAAGTTAATTTAAAAAAGGGGTGGCAATCCAAGTAGGAAAGGATATGGAGAAACAAGCATTCTGATAAATTATTATCAGAATTTCAATGTGTACAACCTTTCAGAAATGATTTGACAACACCTTTTCAAATGAAAAGATTCACATCCAGGTACTCAAGTCTAGGGATGTATATGGATAAGTACAAGGATACTCAGAAAAACACTGCTCAGGCACCGGGGCAAAATATTGACCCATAAGGGACCACAGTGTCACTCCATCGACTCTTTTTTTTATTTTTTGAGATGCAGTCTTGCTCTGTTGCCCAGGTTGGAGTGTAGTGGCACAATCTCGGCTCACTGCAACCTCTACCTCCTGGGTTGAAGCAATTCTCCTGCCTCAGCCTCCCAAGTAGCTAGGATTACAGGTGCACGCTACCATGCCCAGCTAATTTTTGTATTTTTTTAGTTGAGACGGGGTTTCACCATGTTGGCCAGGCTGGTCTCGAACTCCTGACCTTGTGATCTGCCCACCTGGGGCTCCCAAAATGCTGGGATTATAGGCGTGAGCCACTGCGCCTGGCCTCCATTGATTCTTTTAAGGAAGCTTCTGTGTCTGCACCTTTCGTGGAGATGACAGGATGAGAGAAGGAAAAGGAATGGAAGAGACTCAGGGCAACTTTTATTTTCATCAGAAAAGATTTAGAATTGCTTGTGACAAATAGAAAAGAGCCCCAAAGGTGAGGGATTCCCGAGGAAAGAGGTGAACGTTGGAGTTTTGAGGGAGACAGTAAAGAGCAACCGGGCAGTAGAGGGTGAGAACTACAGGGAGCTTCTGGAAAGTTGTACTCCCTGTTACGTGATGAGATCCCCTCTCTACCATCCAAGAGCTTCCAAAATTTTAAAGTTGGGCTTTCATTTTACTCAGTAGTCAATGACTTAGCTCCATGTGGAAATGTGACTGATTTGCAGGTGTCTTGATACCTCTCGAATCCCGTTTCTGGGGTTCTCGGGTTTGGCAACAGATTGGGGGAAGACTCAGTTGCAGCGTCCCTCCTGAGCCTCCCAGGATGACCCCGGCCCACCTCCTCAGCCTTTTAAAGCCACCCCTGCCCTGACAACTTTCATGGCTGTCCAATGCCAGGCAGGGGACCACGTGGAGGCCCTCTAATTACAGAGTGACTTGGCAGGGTCTTGTGGATGAATACCATGTTAACATGGAGATAATGACAGGCTCCTCTATGTGACAGGGTCATTACACTTAATAGTCCACAGGTAGGGCCAGGAACCCAGCCCAAGGGCCAGAGGGGCAGTGACAAGTGCCTGGCAGCCAGTGAGCTGGATAATTGTCCCTCACTACAAACACACACACACACACACACACACACACACACACACACCCCACACACACACACTAATTACCCGATTACCCTCAGACTGCCCTGGTGATCTTGGGTAATTACAGTAGAAAATCCCTTCTGCTTTGCTTCTCTCTGCTTCATTCTCTAGTGAGTCAGACACCTTTGCCTCTCATGTGTCAAACCTTGTTGATTCGCTCACAGAGAGGCTCCCACAGGCTGTGTGAGGATGTGGTCAAGAGGAGGCCAGGATGTGTGCAAAGCACTTTGACTGAAACCAGAGGTATTAGAGTTGGAAACTGAGGAATTTTCAAACTGTGGAGTTCCTGAAGTTCTACCAGGGGCTACAGAAAATGCCTAGAAAACCAGGCTGGGAGAGTTGAGGATGGCAGCAGGGATGAAGGCAATGGCCTTTCTTTTTGGTTTTAAATTGTGTACATGATTCATTCTTGTATCTCAGTATTTCAAAAGCAGGTGCCCCCCCTTCATCTTGGCTCAGCCCACCAGGGAGTTCTCCACTGTTGCCCGAGAACCAGGTTTTCCATAAATAATATGGAAGTATCTTTATTGAAAAGTCCTATTTTTTTTTTTTTTTTGAGATGGAGTCTTGCCCTCTTGCCCAGGCTGGAATGCAGTGGTAGGATCTCAGCTCACTGCAACCTCTGCCTCCCAGGTTCAAGCGATTCTCCTGCCTCAGCCTCAGGAGTAGCTGGGATTAAAGGCGTGAGCCACCACACCAGGCTAATTTTTGTATTTTCAGTAGAAACAGGGATTCACTATGTTAGGCTGGTCTTGAACTCCTGACCTCAGGTGATCTGCCCTCCTCGGCCTCCAAAAGTGTTGGGATTACAGGCGTGAGCCACCGTACCCAGCTGAAAAGTCTTTTATTTTTATTTATTTTTTTAATTATTTTTTAATTTATTTTAAAGACGGGGTTTCACCATGTTGGTCAGGCATGTTGAACTCCCGCCCTCAGGTGATTCCCCCGCCTTGGCCTCCAAAGTGCTTGGATTACAGGCATGAGCCACTATGCCCAGCCGAAAAGTCTTAATACTGCGTTATTATCTCAAACGTAAAGTATCGCATTGGTCTGGCTTCAGAGACTTTGCTTGCTATTCCATAGGCCTAGAATGCTCTTCCCTAAATACTCCTATGATTTACTCATTCAATTCATTCAGGTCTCTAGCCAAAGTATAACTCATCAGAGAGGCCTTCCCTGACTACTCTATCTAAAATAGCATATTCTGTCATTTGCTATTCCCTTATCCAGTGTGATAGACTAAAAGTGACCACAAATCCTTTGTGGTTTCTCTCAAGACGTGACATCTACCTGAGGCTGGGATGGCCTTGTGACTGGCATGGTCCGCCAGAATGAGAGGGAAGTGATATAGTGTGACTTGGTCCTGGGTCACAAGAGGCCTCACAGCCTCCGCCTTTGCTTTCTTGGAATGCTCCCACAACTATGTAAGAAAGTCCAGGCTAGACTCTTGAATGATGAGGGCCATGTGGAAAGAGAAGATAAGCTGACAGCCAATACCAAAGCCCCAGACATGTGAGTGACCTCCCTCTACCTCTTAGCCCTGGTTAAGCATCCCAATGACCACAACCTCGTGAATGAACCCAGGGTATGGCTCCAGCAGAAGAACCACCCTGATGTGCCAGCAAGGCCATGACTCACGAGAAACAATAAAGTGATATTTTAAGCCACTAAATTTTGGGGTGATTAGTTATGCAGCAATAGAGAACGAGACAGCCTCCATTCTTTTTCTTCACAGAACTTCGTCACCTGACAGATGTTTGTTTATTTTCTTCCCACCCAATTAGAATGAAAGCTCCTTGAAAATTGGGAATGGGAAAAAATTTTTGCAGTCTACCCATCTGACAAAGGGCTGATCTCCAGAATTTACAAAGAACTAAAACAGATTTACAAAAAAAAAACAAACAAGCCCATTCAAAAGTGGGTGAAGGATATGAACAGACACTTTACAAAAGAAGACATACATGAGGCCAACAAACATATGAAAAAATGCTCATCATCACTGGTCATCAGAGAAATGCAAATCAAAACTACCTTGAGATACCATCTCACGCCAGCTAGAATGGCGATCATTAAAAAATCTGGAGACAACAGATGCTGGAGAGGATGTGGAGAAATAGGAACACTTTTACACTGTTGGTGGGAGTGTAAATTAGTTCAACCATTGTGGAAGACAGTGTGGCGATTCCTCAAGGACCTAGACATAGAAATTCCATTTGACCCAGCAATCCCATTACTGGGTATATATCCAAAGGATTATAAATCGTTCTTCTATAAGGACACAAGCACACGGATGCTCATTGCAGCACTGTTTACAATAGCAAAGACGTGGAACCAACCCAAATGCCCATCGATGATAGACTGGACAGGGAAAATGTGGCACATATACACCATGGAATATTATGCAGCCATCAAAAACTATGAGTTCGTGTCTTCTGTAGGGACATGGATGAACCTGGAAGTCATCATTCTCAGCAAACTGACACAAGAACAGAAAATCACACACCTCATGTTCTCACTCATAGGCGGGTGTTGAACAATGAGAACACATGGACACAGGGAGGGGAGCACTACACACTGGGGTCTGTTGGGGGGAAATAGGGGAGGAAGAGCGGGGGTGGGGAGTTGGGGAGAGATAGCATGGGGAGAAATGCCAGATATAGGTGAAGGGGAGGAAGGCAGCAAATCATGCTGCCATGTGTGTACCTATGCAACACTCTTGCATGTTCTTCACATGTACCCCAAAAC